GAGGATTTGAGGGGTCATTTGAACTCCGATTGTGATGTTGTTGATATGTATGAACTCGTGGGGCGACGAGGAATCTAATGATGCAAAAATTTCTGAGTTTCGAGAAGTGGGCTCGGGGCTCAGGTTTTGGTAATTTCGGGATTTGTGCCCGTTATTGATTGTTTTCACTTGGGCTTTGTTCCCTTAGCATATTTTGATGTTCTCGTTCTGATTTTGGATAGATTCGACGTGCATGGAGGATGATTTGAGGGGCAAAGGCATCACGAGCTAGAGATTTAGCCGGTTCGAGGTTAGTAATGATTGGAAATGATGCTTTGAGGGTTTGAAACCCCGGATTGCACATCGTAGTGCTATATTGAAGTGAGACACACGCTTGATGACGGGGGTGGGGTCATGCACTATTGGGGATTGTGAATTGGTCCGTAAATCTATTTGCTATCATCATTATTTGGGCTGAATGCCATATTTGGGCTTCGTGCCAACTATTTGACCCTTCGGGGATTTTTGTTGATGTTTCCTCACTATTTTGATTTTATGCTTGAACTCAGTCATGTTATTTTCCACTCTTTTCAAAACTCAGTCATGTTTACTCTGTTTTAACACTTGAAATGATATTTGAAATCATATTTTGGGCTGAGCATCATATTTTACTGTTGCCTGAGTGGCTTATGTGATTTTTGACTGAGAAAGGCTGAGGGCCTGTGTTTTGAAGATACTTTTGGGTCGGGATGCACGCCGTAGTGATGATACACTGATTTGATTACGAGGCCGTGGGCCTGAGATATGTGTGCTATGAGGTGGCTTGTTGATATTGATATGAGGCCAAGAGCCTGTTTATGATGCCATGAGGTAGCTTGATGTTGCGCTTGGGCCGTAAGGGGGCCCTCCCGGAGTCTGCACACCCTCAGTGAGCACGGGTACCCATTGTGATGTGAGATATAGCCCGAGGGGTTGGTATTGATCTGAGATATTGCCCGAGGGGCGAACCTTATGTGTGCTTGTCTTTCTTGTTTGCTTGTCATGTACTTGTTTAATTATGTATTTGTGCCCGAGGGGAGGATTTCTGTATTTATCTGCGCTAATTGTTTTGCATTCATTTACACAACTATTGAGAAAGTCATTTTCAAAGAAGTTTAAACTGAGCTAAGATGTTTAAAGAGATTTTATAGCTTTACTACTTTCTTATTGGTTTTGAACTGCTTCTATACAGCATCCTGATATGCTTTACGTGATTTCTTACCATTCAGAGTTATGATTATTACTGACTGAGTTGGAGTACTCACTTTACTCCCTGCACCTTGTATGTAGATTCAGGTATTTGTACAACCGATAGCGGGTTTTGGCTGACCAGAGGCAGAGTTATCAGAGTTTAGCAAGGTAGCTGCTAGCGTTCGCAACACTGCTTTCCTTTCTCTTCATTCATTAGTTTGTATTTAGCCTATTTTAGGACTTTGTTGTATTTTAGACCTTAGTAGATTCTTTTGACTTGTGACACCCCGGTTAGGGCTGTGTCGTGTTGGAATTCCGCTTTGTTATCTCTATTTCCGGTAATTGTGCTATTAAATCATGTTTGAACTATTCTTATGCTATTTAACTACTTAGAAGGATGAATTGTGTTAGACTGGCTGGCCTTGTTTTCATGAGAGGCGCCATCACGATCGGGTTCGGTGTTAGGGTCGTGACGACAGTTCCAGAGCACAAAATTCATGTTTGAAGAAGGGCGTAAGAGTTCTACAAATGAGTTAGAGGGAGGTTGAGGTGTCTCCCTGGGATTAGGGCAAGCTGGGTGTCCTGTTGTGGGGTGGCACATGGCTCAGAGTCGGAATTAACACTATGGTATATTTTCCTATTTCTAGGTTGAGTGTTGGCCTTACGGTGAGTGAACACTTTACGAGATTGGATGGGCATTTGAGACACATTTTTTTTTTGCATATTGCTCATTTAACATGAAGTTGCGAAGGTTGTCTAGAGTTTCATGAGAGGTTTTCGTCTCTCTCATTTCTATTAGTGTGGTAGCTAGGTCTTGTTGTTAGGCTGTAGCATCTAGTTCTAGAGGAAATGGTTGAGGCGGGTTGATCGGGCTTAGAGGGCACAATAGTGTGCTCGAAGGACTGTGTGGTGGTATCAATATGTTCGGCGGGAAGGTTAGTTCCTGGTCATTCCAAGGTTTGAAGATCGGTCCCAGTATCGGGGGATGGTAGAAAGGGATTTCCAGTAAAGTGAATGGTGGTGAGTTCATCGACCAGTGGAATTGGCCAAATGCATCCATGCCTAGTCTCATGTCCTACGACACAACTTATGCTAGGTAGGAGGAGTTCTGGAGTACTACTATAATCTCCTGATTGTTGATGGTTAGCGAAAATAGTAGTGCTTGACTAGTGAGACCCTGTTCGAGCCATGACGCCCGGGGAAGGTCCGAGGTTTTCTGAATTACATATAGGGTCGGGTAGGGTGGTGGAGGATATGGTGAGTGATGTTGGTCCATGGTTACTTTTTTGTGTGGAAGGGGAGGCGTGAGGTTGAGTAGTAGTAGTAGTAGTAGTAGTAGTATGTTCTGTTATTGTTGAACTGGAATGAGAGTTGGAGGAGTCGGGGAACGTTGCATGGGAATTATGGCTTGGTGGGGAAGTAGTATCATATTTAGGAAGAGGTTGTGTGTTAGAAAAAATTGATTGGGACTTGGTGTCTTTTGAGGAGAAAAAAAGGTGGGCTGGTCGTTTTTTCAAAGGGGAAAAAGACGGGTGATGCGCACAAATAGCCACTAAAAGAACTTGTCTTTATTTTAAAGTCAGTGTTTTAAATGTATTTAGTCTTTAGCCACTGGTTTAATAAACTTATACCCGATTAGATGAAAATACCTTTCTACTATAACTTATACCTACGCTTTTATTAACGATCAGCAGCAGCAGCGCATGTAACTAACTTCACTGTGATCGTCGAATTTCAAAGTATAGAATTGCAGAAGCTTCTCTTCAGATTTCAAACTATAGAATTCAACTTTCTTGTCCAAAAATCGACATAAATTTACAGTAAGTTATACTTTTGTGTTTTTCTATTGATTTTTATTTCGTTACTAGGAATTTGATGCTAGAAACTTAATTTTTTTTTTTGAATTTCTTGATTGATAAGGTTAAGGACATCGCGTCCTATGATAATCCTATAAAAATTGAGCACATAATGTTAAGGACATAGTGCCCTGATTTTGCAAATTGAATTGAAAAAGTTAAGGGCACAATGTCCTTAACTTTTTTGTTGTTCTTCTGTATACTAAGGACATACTGTCATAGTTTTGCAAATTGTTTTGAAAAAGTTAAGGACATTTGGTCCTGAAGTTTGAGTTTCAAGTTGAAAAGTTCAGGACACTTGGTCCTGAACTTAGAGTTACATGTTCAATAGTTATAGACAGACAGTCCTTAACTTCAAGTTTCAAGTTCAAAAGTTAAGGACACTTGGTCCTGAACTTAGAGTTACATGTTCAATAGTTATAGACAGACAGTCCTTAACTTCAAGTTTCAAGTTCAAAAGTTAAGGACACTTGGTCCTGAACTTAGAGTTACATGTTCAATAGTTATAGACAGACAGTCCTTAACTTCAAGTTTCAAGTTCAATAGTTAAGGACACTTCATCCTGAACTTTGACTTGCATGTTGAATAGTTAAGGACACTTGGTCCTTAACTTAGAGTTCCAAGTTAAAAAGTTAAGGACAGGCAGTCCTTAACTTCAAGTTTCAAGTTCAAAAGTTAAGGACACTTGGTCCTTAACTTTGAATTCCAAGTTCAAAAGTTAAGGACACTTGTTCCTTTACTTACAGTTTGAAGTTCATAACTTAAGGACACTTGGTCCTGAACTTTAAGTTACAAGTTCATAAGTTAAGGACACTTGGTCCTAAAATTTGAATTCCAAGTTCAAAAGTTAAGGACACTTGGTCCTTAACTTGGTCTTGAACTTACAGTACCCGTTCTTAACTATACAAAGATTGCTCTATAAAATATGTCCTGAGTTTCCCATTCTCTTGACTTGCAGGATGGAAACAGTATGCATTATAGTTGCTCTTAATGGTAGATGGACTGAAGACTATAAGTATCTTGATCATCAAACAAAGCTTGTTCTAGTACCTGAGGCAATTCGGTTTGAAGATTTCATTAAATAGATATTTGAAGTTATTGAATTGGATAGAGACAAGTTTGAAGTAGTGATAAGGTTTGATATCAACCTTGGAACAAGCAAGGGAATGCTTGTATCTGAAGATTTAGATCTTCACACATGTATAGAGTTACTAAAAACTCATTCACTCTTCAAGGGTTATCGTTTCCTTGTTGATATTTCGGAAAGAGTTTTTGGATCAACAAGCACCTTTGAACATGTCAACAGAGAAACTCAACATGACAATCAAAATAAATGCCAACAGATAATGGAAATAGATATGTTTGAAGCTCAACCAATAACTGAAGAGGTGCTACAAACACATGTCAACAGAGAAACTCAACATGATAATCAAAACAAATGCCGACAGATAATGGAAATAGATATGGTTGAAGCTCAACCAATAATTGAAGAGGTGCTTCAAACATTTGATTCTATTCAAGTAGAAGGACAACGCATTATAGAGATTGACAACGAATAAGCTTTGGGTATTCAAGTCTTAGAGAGTGCACCAGTAATCAAAGAAGTTGCTGAAAAAATCTCTACTCAACTAACTAGACGAAGGTCAAATTTGAAACAAAAAGAATCCCCAAATGATATTAAGAGAAAATGCTTTGTTGGATGAAATAAAAGTGGGATCAATATTGGACAAAAAGAAGAGTATAATTAACTGTTTTTCAAATATAGCAATTAAAGGACATTTTGAATTCAAGGTTGTTAGATCAAGCTCAAGAAGATATTCGTTGAAATGCAATGATGATAGGTGTGGGTGGTGTGTGTGTGCTTTCAGAATTAAAGATTCAACACTGTTCAAGATAGTAAAGATTGAGAAAAATCATGACTGCTCTGTTAACACTATGAAAGCTAATCAAAGGCATGCAACTTCAAAGTTGATTAGTGGTTACATTATCGACAATCTTCGAGACCCAAGGTTTGAAGTTACACTAGCTTTTGTCATGGTAGAAATGCAAAAATTGCATGGACTAGACATTGGGTATCACAAGGCGTGGTGTGCTATTCAACTTGCTTCCGCTTTAATAAGAGGAACTCCTGAAGAGAATTATGAGTTATTGTCTTCATACTTGTATATGATGAGAAGTAAAAACCCGGGAACATATACTAACATAAAGATAGACGACAACAATAGGTAAACAATCAAAAAAAGGTTTTCTAGTCCGTTTTATAAAATTTAGGACATGATGTCTTTAACCAGTTAATTTTTGAGCTTGTAACCTGAAGCTCAGGATTGGATGTCCTTAACTTTATAACTTGTAACTGTAAGTTAAGGACTGCTCGTCCTTAACTTTTGACCTTGTTAGTCTAACTTCAAGATGTCCTTAACTTTTTGCTTTGTAACCTGAAGTTCAGGACTACCTGTACTTAACTTCTGTTAACCTTGTTTTATATTGTATTTTCAGGTTTCTTTATATGTTTTATGCATATAGATCATCAATATCTGGTTGGAATCATTGTAGACTAGTGATTGCTATTGATGCAACGTTTTTGAAGTCAAAATTTCGTGGTGTTTTAATAATTTCAGTTTCAAAGGATGCAAATAACCAAATTTTCTCACTAGCCTTTGGAATAGCAGAATCTGAAAATAATAATTCCTATGAGTGGTACTTTAGTCAGCTTCGCAATGCAATTAGGAGCCGTGAGAATTTAATTTTTTTATCAGACAAGCATCAAGCTATTGCATATGGCATTGCAAAGGTATATCTTGAAAGCCATCATGGGATTTGTATCTATCAGTTGAAGCAGAACCTAAAGCGAAGGAAAGTGAAAAGTGAAGTCATAAAACTTTTTCAAAGTGCTGCAAGAGTATACAGGTGCAAAGAATTTGATCTATACATGTCAGATATATCAAAAGTAGATAAGAAGACTTATGACTACTTGATGGAAGAACCACCGGAAAGGTGGGCACGTTCTTGTAGACCACGATGAAGATATGACATGCTCACAACAAACATAGTTGAGTCAATGAATTTTGTCCTATTAGAAGCAAGGAGGTGCCTATATTAAGAATGATGGATTTCATTCAAGTGAAGATACAACGTTGGTTTTATGAAAGAAGAAATGAAGCCGAAGGAACTTTTTATGATGTTTCTTGTTGGCTATAGGAGGAATTGAAGAAAAAGAGAGATTTAACATTTACTTTGAATGTAAGTATTATGTTCTATGTTTAGGTTATGATTTTAATATAATTTAACATAATATACTAACTTATAATTTTTCAACATTGAAGGTCTTCCATGTTGATTCATGGCGTTCTAGAGTTGAAGAAGAAGGAATAACTTTCTTGGTGGACTTAAACAAAACAACATGTGACTGTTTTCAGTTTCAATTTGATGAATTATCATGCATACATGCAATTGCATCTATCGAGAAGAGAAACATCAAGAAGTCTAACTTTTGCTCGCATGGGTACTTAAAGGAATCTTGGGTGAAAACATATGAAAGACAAATACATCCTGTAGGACATACTAATTCTTGGATTGTACCAGAGAGTGTTAAGTCACAAATTATTAAACCTCTAGATTTCAAAGTCACCGAGTCATCAAAAATAACATGCAAATGTGGTCGTTGCTGAAGAATTGGTCATAATAGAACAGTTTGTATATATTCTTCGGCAGTCCATCCATTTTCAAGAAAGCATAGAGAATAGTAGATATATCCACTTATGTTTATCGACTCTTTTAAGTTTTTGCTATAAATTGGATTCATTTAGATTATTCTTATTTGAGTAGATGTCTGAAATTTCAAAATTTCTTTCTGCTTACGTTCTTTTTGATACTTTTGAGTTCAAAGTTCAAAATTTAAGGACAGACAGTCCTTAAGGTTGACTTACAGGTTCAAAAGTTAAGGAAAGGCAGTCCTTAACTTTGACTTACAAGTTCAAAAGTTAAGGACATGTAGTCCTTAACTTTGAGTTCAAAGTTCAAAAGTTAAGGACTGTCTGTCCTTAACTTTGACTTACAAGTTCAAAAGTTAAAGACAGACAGTCCTTAACTTTGAGTTTCAAGTTCAAAAGTTAAGGACAAGCAATCCTTAACTTTGACTTACAAGTTGAAAAGTTAAGGATGTTTGGTCCTTAACTTACAGTTCCAAGTACAAAAAATAAGGACATTTAGTTCTGAAGTTTGAGTTCCAAGTTCAAAAGTTAAGGATTCAATTTCAAAAGTTGAGGACACATGGTCCTGAACTTAGACTTTCAAGTTCAAAAGTTAAGGACACTTGGTCCCGAAGTTTGAGTTTCAAGTTCAAAAGTTAAGAACACTTGGTCCTGAAGTTGCAGTTTCAAGTTCAAAAGTTAAGGACACATGCTCCTGAACTTTGACTTATAAGTTCAAAAGTTTAGGACACTTGGTCCTTAAAGTTCAATTACACTTGGTCCTGAACTAATACTAACTAGCTCAATGGACAAATCAATACTTGACAGAAACAAAGAAATTAATAACATGATGCCTTCATATTACTTCTGAAATTGTAATTTTGCATAGCTGTGACAAAATATTATGCTATGCAAACAAAATAAAAGTTCCTTTTGAGGATTTTACAGGATACTTCAAAATTCATATGGATTCTTTACAACAATTTTATATAAAAAATCAACCACAACTAACTTTCTTTACAACTAAACCACAGCTCCTTTGGACATAAAGTTTCATTTTCACTATCATAGTCGCCGCCAATATTTTCTGGTGGTGTATCATAACCAGAATTTCTTTTCCACTCTCCATGTGCCCAAAGATTTGCTGCAAGTTCTTTTCTAAAGTCTTTTATGTCTTTAGCTTGGAATTTCTGCACATCCTTTCCCATCATCAATAACTCCACATACTTGATTAGGAATGCACCACAATCAATCCTAAGAAAAATGTAAGATATGGAGTCAATTAAACAATAAATCTAAAGTACATATAAATTATATAACAAATAACAACACGTACAATCCAGTTTGGTGTGGTGATCTTTGTCACTGAATATCAAATTTGTTGAATGCATTTCCAAAAGACTTGTGATGTTTGTCAAACTGTGAGAACTTTAGCAAGTGGGGGATCATGTGTGCATACATTTCAATGTGATTCATTCCTGCCTCATATGGCTCACTATATATGGAATCATACACATTAATCTTTTTTCTCATTCAAGTCCAATACCCCCAAAAGAAAATGTGTCACAGCATTATCATCTTCTGAAGGAAGCCGACGTGGAAAAAAGATTTTGTCAACCTCTGTCCAAGCAATTCCATATCTACGACTGTCACCCCACACATATGTTGTCAGAAACAATTGATTATCACCACACCAAAATTCATCTACAGCATCTTCATTGAAATCTTTATACACAAGCACCATATAGTTATCAAAAAGTATATTTGTAGTTGTGTAACGAAAAGGATAGTCGCGAGGGTGGTAGCATTCCTTCTTTCAGATAATATAGGACAATGTCAATATGCTTCATAAAAAGGAAAAAAATAAAACAAATCCATCAGTCATAAAATAATTAAAAAATGATAAACTAAGAATAAAGAAAATAAATGCCTTGCGAATTATCAAACCTTATCATCAGTACAAAACTACTATCTGAAAGCTCAAGGAAGAACATTTTGCTACTGATTTTTTGATGATACAATTTGTATGGATTCTTTCTCACACCATTATCATCAACATATATATCAGTTTGTCCCCTGAAAATTTTGAAAATATCAAAGTTAGAAGTTAGTCCTGAACTTAGACTTTCAAGTTGAAAAGTTAAGGACACTTGGTCCTGAAGTTTGAGTTTCAAGTTGAAAAGTTAAGGACACTTGGTCCTGAAGTTTGAGTTTCAAGTTCAAAAGTTAGGGACACATGGTCCTCAACTTTGACTTACAAGTTCAGGACACTTTGTCCTTAACTTAGACTACCAAGTATAAAAGTTAAGGACAGACACTACTTAACTTATAGTTCCAACTTCAAAAGTTAAGGACAATTAGTCCTGAACTTCAAGTTTCAAGTTCACACATGGTCCTGGACTTAGACTTTCAACTTCAAAAGTTGAGGACACTTGGTCCTAAACTTTGACTTACAAGTTCAAAAGTTACGGACACATGGTCATGAACTTTGGCTTACAAGTTCAAAAGTTCAGGACACTTGGTCCTGAACTTTGAATTCCAAGTTGAAAAGTTAAGGACACTTGGTCCTTAACTTTGATTTCCAAATTCAAAAGTTAAGGAAATTTGGTCCTAAACTTAGACTTACAATCACAAAAGTTAACGACACTTAACTTTAGGAATTTCAATATCAATACACATAGTCCTAAATTTAAAATTACAAGTTAAGGACACGAATTTAAGCAATTAACAAATAATGAAATACATTAAGGGACTTACTATATTTTGCAACCTTTCCTTTTCTCCTTTCCCAACCACCCAATGAAGTTCTTCAATAATTATGCATCATCTTTGGCATAATGAAAAATACATCTACAAGTATATGTTGATTTTATCCAGCCCGAACTCTTGGGAGTATTTTCATTGTGCGCCATCGATGTTCCTATTTTTCTTTCCTGATCAAAAGGAGATTTCAATTGCCTACTAAGCTTCTTATTCCTTTTACCTCGACCAAGCTCTTCTTTAACATTTCTTTCAACCTCCATAGACAAACCCCCATCAATGCTCATTTGTGTAATTGGAGGAGTAGGAGTAAGAATAGAAAATTACGGACCATCATAACCAATACTATCTCTCTTTCTTTTCCTAGTATATTGGTTAAGAGCTTCATCTATGTTTTACTCTGCAGACAGCACTATATATATATTAGTTTGCTGCAAGTCGTCAAATGAAGAGACAAAAACTAAGAACATTATTTTTGAAATGTACTGGCATTTTTAATTATGAATATAATATTTAGGACACAATCAATACATGTCTTGTTCACACTACCTTCTTGTGTTATTTCAACAGACAATTGAGTTGACATATTGGTTGCATTTTCTTTATCTTCCAGCTGCACATTTTCTTTATCTTGCAACTGTCCTCCATGTTCTTCAGTTGTAAGTTCACAAGATTCTACAAAATATTTACAAGAGATAACATAATTAGTACTTGTTACTAATATTTGATTAAAACAAACATGTATAAAATTTTAAAAAAATATTGTCTAACCGTTTGCAATTGTCAAGATCATCCCAGTTAAATCATTATCTTCACTAGTATTTTTTGGCTTCCAATATTGTCGGTAAGAGAGCGAGGTGTAGAGAGATCACATGTTCCATCTATGCATTTGGAAACAATCTCACTTATGCTTGTTCCTTCGGTATTTTCTAGGTCTTGAGATTATACTCCATTTTTCTCTTGATACTCCACTCCAGCTTCTTCTTTTGCAGCTTCAAAAGATTCTGTAACAATTATAATTAATACCCATTCTAATAGTTCACTAAAACTAACATTCAACATATCATGAAAATTTTATCTAACCTTGATTGGCATAATTTTGAACTCCAAATTTCTCTTTATATGAGAGAGGTATAGGCATATCATATGTTACTTCTAAACATTTGCATACAATTTCACTGACACTTGTTCCCAATGGACTTTCTAAATCCTAAGATTGCACTCCACATTAACAAATTTTTTCTGTTATTCATGTCTCTTTTGGATTTTCCTGATCTTGACATTCTACTACATTTTGAACTTCCACTCCATCAATAGATTATACAAATATTTTTAATCACAAAAAAAGTTTATATGTATTACGCTATTGAATATAAATTTCAATGAAAAATTCAAAATCTATATCTAACCTTTCCCAATTTCAATGTCGATATCAGTTTCATCATCTAGATGTGCATCTCTATAATCTCTTTCATACTGAACTTCTGCATGCACATCCATATCATCACATTCATCAGTACCTGCATCTTTGTTAATTGTAACAGTAGGTTCTGTACCATGACAATGATCATCA